TGAGGTGGTGCAGGCTCCCACCCTGGGGGTTTTTAAGAGGAGGTTGGATGACCACCTTACTGGGGTCGTTTGACCCCAGTGCTCTTCCTGCCATGGCATGGGGTTGGACTAGATGATCTGCTCAGGTCCCTTCTGACCCTAGAAACTATGAAACTATCAGCTGTGGATGCTGCCAGTAGGTTCAGGAGCCCAGATGCAGAACCTGCCAGCAGCATCCACAGCTGACTGCACCACCCTCCCAGTGTGGTAGGAGCCCTGACCCAGAAGCTGTGGAGCCAGGCAGCAACTGCTCCATGCCAGGTGGGCAGGTGCATCAGCTGTGGTCACAGTTAGCAGGTTCCAGAGCCCTGACATGGAACCTGCTGCCAGTGTCCACAGCTGATGCTGCCACCTGCCTGGCATGGAAGCAGCTCCTGCCTGGCTCCACAGTTGACACTGCTGGCAGGTTACAGGTCAGGGCTCTGGGCAGGAGCTTCCTCCATAGTTTATATAAGGGAGGTGGAAAGTATTATATGTGGAAAACTCTTCTTGATTAGTATATTTTTGGGCTAACAGAATAAAAGCATCATCCAACTCTCTCTTTCCTATCCCCCCCCATCCTCTGACCTGTTATTTCTGTACTCCCTTTCATCAGTGGCATGGATGTTCACTAATATTTGGAGTTGTGAACCACCTGAAACAACATTTGCTAACAGATCACACCAACCCAAATTTTCAGACCCTAAAATGTCGCTGGAAGAACTGTGATGCTTTCTTCACATCTAGGAAAGGTTCTAAGCAGGTATGTAGTGAAGTAATTTATTTACTTGGTAGTAAAGTAGAGAGCTAAGAAAAAAATGGTGTAGCATTGGACACTGCAACTGAGGGATTCCCTCAGGTGCAGTGTTCAAATCCTGCTAGTCTTAGTTATGAAAACAGGATTAATTGATTTGATGTCAGATATTCATATAAGGCCAAAAGGGCTTGGCGTTCAATATACAATAAGCAATTCAGCTATGTCTGATAGCATAGATATGTGATCATTTTGAAATGGTCTGAAATCTGACACACTTCGATTGCTGCTTGTTCTGCCAAAATAGTAAAGAAGTCCCAGTGCTTGCCATAAAAAGCTGCTGACCTCTTTCTCTGGAAGAAAGCTAAAAGTCTTTGCATTTCTTAAAGGAAAAAAATATATAATGGAATTTTATTTTATTATTTTCATACCTTTAGAGGTGAAAATATCTCCCTAGAGATTAGAATTTAAGAGCTTACCACATTGGTCAATAAAAACATTCACCTCTTGTGTGATATAGGCTGTTAGTAGCTGAATTTTCACTGAATTCTGTAGAAAGAACACAGTGGAGGAAGTTTGTCTGAGCCCTGAAAAGAAGTAGATCCCTTCAAATTAAGAAACAAGAGCATGCTTTTTCAAAGCTATGAATGACATTTATGGTGTTTAAATCACCAACTGGATATGTTGCAGTTATTTCCACACAACTTAAAACAAGTACTGGAAAAAAGATGGATATAATTTAACTTGAATTTTATGGGACGTGTTTGGTAGACATGTTGGTCTGAGACTAAAAGAAATGCAAACATTTTCTGAACTCTTGGTTCAGAAATGATGCCTTTTATTAGACCAACTAGGACATTGCAAAAAAATTACTTTTTTCTGCAAGCTTTTGGGCTCAAATGCCATTCATCAGGCTCTGGGAAAATTAGAGGTGATAAAAAGTCCCCCATAGGTGGGAAATAAACTTCATTTTTTTGCACATTTATATTGTACATATTCATGTCCAAATCTCTTGACAATAAATTTCAGGAGATTAAAGCAGCAACTTCTTACCCTGCCCTGAATGCTGCACGCTGACAGCTTCTAGAACCCTTTATACCACATTTTTAATGCATGTTTTTCTGTCTCCTTCCAGGATGCTGTAGGGCACATTGAAAGACATGCCGAGGAGGACAGCAGGATTGACTCATGAAGCTTTTTTGTCTCCCACATTGGGAAGTAATTTTATTCATCAGAAATATTCCGTGCATCATCTGCCTGTTACCCCACCTCTTTTCCCATGCTTTTCCTCCTTGGAATGCAAAAAGGGAGTGGGGCCTGATGGCTCGATTACAGAGATTGCATGTCTCATGCAGCCTTGTAGAAATGGGAATAATCCATTGAGACTCAGACCAAACAGAAGAATTTTTCAAGTTTTAATTAATCAAAAAACACAAAGAAAATCTCCCCCCTCTCGTCTGCCATTTTAAGAGTCATATTCTGTATATGTAAGTTTGGGCATTCAGAGAGGGGGGTTCAGTACCCAGATTAAAAATAGGTACCAGCATTTGCTACTTTATCTTAAAATCTGTAAGCATTTAATCAAGGTGGGTTACTGTTTACATGTCTGCTTCACGCTGTATCTAATTCCCACAAACAAATAAATTCAATTTTGGCTTTTGCCAGTTTTAATAAAATATTGCTAACAAGAAAGACGCATGTTTTACAAAGAGTTTAAATTAATTTCCAGTAGAAATTTTGGCTGTCTTCATAAAACTGTCTGGCCTTTTAACATGGGACTGGAATAAATGAACAGTTCCTTTTTTAAGGAATTGAAATGTATACTTTAATATTTTTATTCTTCCTTTGTCTAAAAGTTGCTTTAACTGGTAAAATGTATACAGTGACTGATTGGATTTTATTGTCCTACACATTATATTCCCTAAGGGGGAGTTAAGATAAGAACAGACACTGTTTGAGATGTATTATAGCAGCAAAGCAGTCAAACTATTAGGTCCATTAATCTGTCAGAATATCAGGCAACTCATTACCAGACAATATGGAGAGTGACACCAGTTTTTATTTTGCATTTAAACACCAGCACAGTATAATTATAATCATTATTGTGTTGATATGGCAGCAGTTTTTTTCCAATTTTGGGACAAAGTAACTAATATTGCGAGATTTTTATTTTATTTCTGTTGAGATCTTGTATGGAATATTAGCCAGTGGCACTTGTGCTGACTTATGGAAACCCAACTTATTAAACATAGGCACAAACACCACATAGCTAATGACAGTCATTTTGTGTTGCTTTGTTTATGTTGTAAACATGGTCTGCATCAGGTTCACATTAACTCAAGTTTATCATGGAATCGTGCAATAAAGAAGGCTGCTGGTTTTGGAGCAGGATGTTAAAGTCTGAGGATTTCAAGCAGAAGCTGAGGGTATCAAGTGCATAACATTTATATAAAGCTTGTTTCTACAAATGCTTCTGAGGGATTACGTTTTCATTTGCTTCTCAGGGAGACTGAAATCTCATTTGTGCATTCAGAACAACAAAATGAAAAAAAAGCTCTTTATTCATTTGATAGTTCCTTTGTTCTCTTAGGCAGTGAGACTGAAAGTAGCAGAGGCTTTCTTCTCTCCTGTTGTAATAACCATCTTAAGACAAGAGAGGAAGAGTTCCTACCAGCTATGCACAGAAAGTAAAAAAACAACAACCACCCAACAGAGCTGAGACTATTTTTCCCATGAGCAAAAACCCTGTGGGCGTCTGGATAGGCTCAGAGTTCCATGCAACATCTCTTCAGCTACTTGATCAATACTTAGATATGCCAAATACAAATTAAGTTAATGTTATGGCCTCACTCTTTGATAATAAGGGAACATTTTTGCCCAGCTGAGGAAGCTGCCCACCTAGTAATCTTCAGTGAACCTAAAGTGAAGGTTTCACTTAAGGTGTTTTTGAGTCTCTTTGAGAGAGTTCTTTTAATATTGTCTAGAAAAAATTCTAATTTCACAAGGTCAGTGTTTTTTTCTTTCAATTTTACCTCTGTATCTCTCCTTAGGTACAGAATATGTTGACACCCTATTCCCTAAGCTGTAGGGGAAAGCTTCTGGGTCAAAGGCTCTTTAATAGGTTCCACATTGTTAAGGTTTTCTGTCGAAGAGACGTCACCAATGAGAAGTTGTGATTTGGATCTCAAGTCAAGATTTTCTTTGGATGGAGTACTTTAAGTACAATTCAGGGAGATCCCTAAGCAGTGTGGTGTTCATTCTGTGATGCAGTCAGTAATGTTGTAGTGTCATCTGGTTCACCTCTCTCACTGTGAGAGGAGGTAAAATTTATTTCAGTTTTAAAACAGAAAGCTGTGGAAAGTGTAAAAGATAAGTCCTAAGCTACTGACATTCAAAAGCTCTTGAATCACAGACAGGGGAAATGGAAAGGTGTGTTTTTTGTTTTTTGTTTTTTTGTTTGTTTTTTTTTAAATTAGGATATCGTTAGTAGAATGTGTTTTGAAGTGAAGGCGCAGGGCCATGTAATCAAGGGACAAGCCTGCAGTATGTAGTGTTTGTTCCCATTCTGAGAAGTGATGTGCATGTGGATTGTATTGCTCTTTCTTGTGACATTTCACATTCTCCCAAGTTTTTCACTGTATTTGGGAAACTGTTGATGCCTGAAAGAATGTAATTGTCCTTTTCACTATATTAAGCATCACAGAGGATATACTTCTTTCTTTTTCTTTTTCTATTTTTAATTGGCTTCCTGATTTATAAGTTGTGTTTTGTTTTGTTTTTTCTTTTTAGTTAAAGTGGGTATGAACAATGACTTCCTTTTAATCCATTTCAAGACATCAGAGACATTTTCTTTTGCTGGTGTTTAAGCTATCCTTACAAATAGTTGGAATTGTGTAAATGTAGCTTTATATAGTGTACATCAGAGGGTAAGAACTAGCTACAGCTCCCCTATGGATGTTTTATTTAATAGCTTCCACCAGACACTGATGTTAAGAACCTTAGGACTAGTGGTGGGACAGGAGCTATGTAGCTGGATAGGCCTTTAAAAATCTTTGGCTGTATATTTATAAACTTGTAGTTGCTTCTGAGGTCCAGAAAAGAGTCTCAGACCATTTCACTGTGTTGCAGCAAGCCATTAGATATGAGCCTAAGTGACAAAACTGTCAGGGACTTGGGATTTGCTTTTGGGCCTATCTGTGTTCTGCTTTTATGTGCTGTCCAGCTGCAACTAGGCAAGGTCAATTAATGGCTACTTGCTTCTTCTAGATATTAAACTGCTGCAGGTACAGTAGTTAAAGCTAATAGAACATCAGTTAATTAAATTAAAGCTTAGGGTTCAAGTAAATGTATTCCCCATGTCTCAATCCATATAAAGTCTGACTTTTGGCATCCATGCACTCAGAAAAGAGCTAGAAATTGTATGGTAAGAGAGGAATATTACTGAGTTTTGAAAGAGACTAGGTGTCTCTTTGAAAGCAATACTGCATGTCTGAAGCCTGTATTAAAGACTGTGTTTGGTTTTTCAGGAAAGGAGAAGTTGAGAAGGGAGATGACAAGAACGTTTTTTTTTTTAATTATTATTTTTTGTTTTATTTCTGTGTCTTCACAAAGGATTGAATTATTTGTATGTGTAACTAACATATGGTGGTCTTGTTAGCATGCATATCACCTTTTTTTTTCCATAAGCAATATTGAAATTTTAAAGCCTTGACTTTTTTTATGGTGTAAGTGTTCAGAGCAAGGGAGAAAGTGTATGTAAGTGGAGTAATTCTACAAAATGTTAGGTAAATTTTATATCTGTATCCTGGATCACAACTTAGTGCTCTCAGAAAACAAATAAATCACTAGGTCACATATTAGCAATCTTTCTATCCTTTTAGTCATCTTTTCCCATCCACTTACACAACTTTACTGGGAGAAATTATAGTTAACTGAGGATGTTGGAATACAGGTTAAATCTGTCCTCTTCTCCCCCACTTCCCAAGGTACATTCATTACTAGGCTTTGATCAGTAAGGGCCATCTTGAAGTAGACAGGAAGAATTTCCACCAGTGCCAAAAGAGAACCTGTTCATTGGTACCAAGATGCATCAAATACCCCAGCTTCTGCTTGCCCCCTTGTGACAAATATGTAGACTGCACATATTCACCACCAGAACAGTTGACAATTGTGTATGTTGCTTGTTACAAAACAGCAAAGGGTTTGCTGTATAGTGCTTTGTCCAGGAAGTGATGTTCTATATATGAGTTTAAAGACCTGCACAGTCCACCATGAACAAGGAAGAACAAAAACTCTAAATTCAAATTAATTTCTAGCAAAATGTGGTTCCTATGGATAACATGAAGATTTCTTTCTTGTAGTTGATCAGAAATGCAAGAATTAATGTTAATAAGAACAAAACAGAAAAAAACCCAAAACAATGTAGAATGTATAAGCAAGATTAGGAAAACTGTTTCAGCTATTGTCTATAAAATATTTATTTAGCAAAAATGTAGAGCAAACAATGTAGTTAAAGTGGAATATGCACCTGTCAGCTTTTCAAATTTCATTTGGCTAGAAAAGTTAAATCTAGTCTTTCTAAGAATCAAAGTGGAATAAAACAATGTGGGTTTTAAGTATTTCAAAAGTAAAGCTGTGTAGATCATGTGCACAGATTTGAGTTGGCCTTTCCTCACATTTTGGTAACAAAGCTGTGAACCTATTAATGAAACTTTATAAAGAATAAAATATTGGGGGGGGAGAAATAAAAGTTGTTTATAATGACATATTCTGTCTGTAGTCTTAATTCTTATCTTCATTTTGAATGGACTCATTTTTCACTGGATAATTTAAAATTGTTTTAATTTATGCAACTGATTCTTTCTTATCTGGAATGAACTGAAATAAGATGCTGGCATGTGCTTTCTTTTGGGAGGTAGTAGTCTACTGGGCTGTGGGCAGGGTTAGAATGCACTCATCCTTCTGTTCTGGTCTGCTGTACTACAGAGTTGTTATGTGACCTTAAGCAAGTTACTTAACTTTTCCATTTTCCAGCCCATCACATGGGGATATTACTCAACTGTCTCTTACAGATAATGTGACTGGGTAAATGTTCATTTACTACCTTGAATATAAATGCCAATATTTTCACACGTGCATGCTGAAATTGAGCTCCTATTTAAAATTTTCAAAGGTGTTGAAACATTAAAATTCAGGTTCTTAACAGGCATTTGCCATGTAGAAATAAAAAAAAAATGATCTAAATCAGCAGGGTAAAAACCATGTAAAAAGATGCATATAAATGACTGTCTTGAAAGCCAGAGTTGAGGCAATGTATCAAGCGAGTTGTATAAGAGAATCTTTTATTTGTGACCATTCAAAAATGCAGCCTACAAAAAGAAAAATCCCAAGGTTACACTGGGTGTTTGTCAGGAAGATACTAACCTGGGAGCTACATGGAAGAATTGTGCAAGTACCATCTTTGTCTGCTGCTGTGCCTTGTGGCACCACTATTTTAATATTCTTTCCCTGATATTACACTTTCTGGTAGAAAAAGAGGGTTGGGGGAGTCTGAAATTTGATAATTTTGGGCTTCCTATCTAGAAGTTTTGGATTCAAATTTATTCTAAGAGATTAAACTAGCTGGATTTGCATGTTCTTTCATAACAATTAATACCTTGTGCTATTTAAAAATAATATGTTTCAATATCTTCTTTTCTTCCTCTACCAGGTTGCCTACACACCTGATGATTTTTAGGTTGATTTAATTTAAAATATTTTGGTGGGTAGGGCAAATAAGTGCCTTATAGTTTGAAAGTAAATCTAAGGAACTGATTGCATCTAGCAAACATATTAATGTGTATAGGAGAGACTTTGTTTGATTTTGGGCTTGTCTGTGCTTGATAGTGAATTCTGACTTAAGGTAGAGTTAAAGTACAGTAGTTATTCCTGAATAACCTCATGCAGAGACACAACTCAAAATTTTGTCCCCTTTTCAAAATATTCTAAGAAAGCCTTGTCAAACTGTCAGAACATTTATCAGCCCAAAGCAGGCATTTTTTTCTCTACTTTTACCAGTTTTTAAGTCATCTGCCCACCAGAATTTCTATTATACTTTTACATTATAAGCTGGCCTTGATTCTTTGCTGAAAGAAAAACAACCTATTTAATTCATCCTTTTCTTACCTCAATAATTCCTTTTGAACCAAATCGTCCTTGTTGGTTTTTTGTTTTTTTATAAGATCAGTATAGATCTCACACAGTATTTGGCATTGTATTTAATGAATTCTACAGTAAAACTGTTCTGTCCCAATTATATATCTGAGGCATAGTTTACCCACAGCATATAAAGAAAGAGGCTATAATCACAACAAAACTTAATGTCCTTTGTCACGGGGAGAAAGAAGGGGGAAAACCCTGAGAAGCCAGGGGGGAACCCTGGGAGCAAGAGCTGGTTGGGGAAGAAAAGGAGCAAAAAAAAAAAAAAAAGCAGCAAACAGAAAAACTCTTACCTCTAGCCGGAACCGCGGTGAAGCTGGAAATGGTGGTGGGACCCGAGTGGCTTGTTAGCCACATCTTTATACAGCTGCAGCCAGCTGATAACATCAACTGCAGGAGCCGGCTGGGGGAGATAAAAGGAGCTGCGGGCAAGGAAGAGGGGGAGAGACCAGCTGGAGCACCAGAAGGGGAATCTCCCGAAGTCCCCACGGAGGGGAGGAGC